TAATTTCTTTCTATTTTTAGTAGAAACAGGGTCTCGCTCTTGCTCAGGCTGGTCTCGAACTCCTGAGCTCAAACAATCCTCCCGCCTCGACCTCCCAGAGTGCTAGGATTACAGGCGTGAGCCACCGCGCCCGGCCAAGATACCTTGTTTTTAAAAATTTTTTTTGAGGTGGGGAGAAGGTGTTTTACCAGTGATGTCGAACTTATTTTTCATGTACAAGCATGCACAGGCATTTATATATCTTAAGCGATCTCTTCTGGGTGTGTAGCACCTTTGGTCACTAGCAAACTGCTTATGTGTAAAATATATCTACTTTTGGACCTATGAAACCTTAATTCGAGATGCTCTTGGTTGCCTCTTGCGAGATGATTAGGGGTTTCCAAATCAGGGGCCAAAATAAAATAACCCACTATGAAAAGGATCCCCTGGTATTTTATAAGATAATAGCCAACATTTATTGAAGGCTTCTTGTGTACCAGGCACTATGATAAATGATTTACATTCATTATGCCACTTAATCCTTACAAGATCCCCATAGGGTTGCCGATCACTATCTCTGTATTATAAATGAGGAAACTGAGATGTAGGGAGGCTCGGTAACATGTCCAACTTCATGCAGCTGTGGTGTCGGAGCCAGCACTTGAATCCAGATCTGACTCTGCAGGAAATTTGTTGTTGAACACCGTGTTTTCCTGTGTTTCCCTTTACCAGACCACACGTGCACACTTACACCACATTTCAGCTGGGAGTTTCTTTCCGGTGCCTTTTAGGAGAAAGCAGATGGGGGAAGGATTTGGGCTATTGTGGGATTGAGGTCATTTCATGTTTGGGCTGGAAACGCAATTGACCTTTGCTCGTTTGCTTCCAGTGAGTCAGGGTCCATGCACTGTGTCAGACCCTGTGCCCAACTCTGGGAGCCTTGGTCACTGCTGTTAGGAACTGACATTCTTTTGTTGTTGCTTTTAGCATCCATTCAAAGCTGAGCTCAGGGTAATGGCTGAGGGCCGAGAACTGATCCTGGACCTGGAGAAGAATGAGTAAGTGGACTCCTCCTTTGTCTAAAATGAAACAATTAATTTCTATGTCAAGGCAGGACGCAGGTGTCGCTGTTTTGGAAGGAAGCAGTTAGTGGAGTGACCTCAAGCTCTCAATCCTTGATTGCTTTGGGGGAGCATCTTGAAAAGACAGAGCTTTTCCGGCCTCTTGACTTGCTGTGAAATTACTGGACCGCTGAACGTCTTTCTTGAACTGCCCTAGGCTGTATTTCTGGGGCCTCTGAGAGTTCACTGCAGCCCCACAGGGGTGTGTGTACATGTGAGGTTAAGGGAGGGGATGGACCGGAGGCCTTGGCAGCCTCCTTCCCAGCTCCAGCCCAGTGCATGGCAGGAAGTGAAGGAGAGGAGAGGAAAACAGCAGTGAGGACTGAGGCAAAGCAGACTGTGCTGGGATTTGATGCCTCAGACTCTGATTGTTCCATCTGTTCTGGGTCAGCTAAACCTGAGATTTTGCCAGGACGGCCTCTCCTGGCTTCATCTGGCCCAGCTCCTTCATCTTCCTGACCTCATTCATCTTGGGTGGTGGCCTGGCTCAGAAATGTTTCCACATTGATTTGCCATTAGGCGCTGTTGTATCTTGATTCATGTTATTGGGGAGGTGAATAGGTGTAATGCATGGCTATGTCTGTTGCCCAATCTTTGGCCATTTCCCATCTGCTTGGCCACTGAAGAGCTCTCCTTACTTGGCCGAGGGACTCTGAAAGCCTTCGGTATTTCCCCACCAACAGTCCCTCTTTCCTTCTGCCACACGGACATTGCAGATAAGGCTACATGGCTTGGAGAGCTGCCTGTCTGCTCTTGGCAGCCTCTGGAACCCCCTGGAAGCCAATGAGTAATCAAATGTATCACTGCCAAGAAAGGAATGAAGAAGAACCTTCCCATATCCAGAAGGATGAGAATGGCTGCTAGGCTTGGGTGGAAAGGGGGAATATTATTTATTCCAAATTTGGGCTTTTAGACACTTGCAAAGGAGGATGAGTGATGTCTCAAGTGTGGATAAGATACGACTCAAGCAGTCTGTGCAGTGATGAGGCTTCATCCACATCTTTCCTCTGCCTCCAGGATAGCGTGGCCTTGGGAAGCCAGAAAGATGGAGATTGCAATCATTTTTGCTACTCTCCTTCTGAGAGTAAAACCAGCCTAGGGATGTGTCTCTGATCTCCTATTTCCCTGGAACAGATCTGACCGTCTGCATCCTTCAGAGGATGCAGGCTCTGCCTGGCCAGGATTTCTCCTTGGGTTGTCATCCTTTGGTCCTACAAGAAAAGCCCTTAGAGGGTCTGTTCTTGACTGTGTTCTCTCAGGGGCATGTTTTAATTTCTCATAGCTCCAGCCTGTTAACTCTAGCCTAAATGTTCCCTATTGCCACCTGTGTCTGATCTCTCCTGTCCTGCCCCGAGTAGAGCATATGACCTTCGGCTTCCTCTGGTCAGCCCAAGTGACCATATTGATATCATAGGCAAGTCTTTAGGTGTTAGACCAACTAAGCAGGGATCCCAGTCCCCATCCTTCTCTATTGTTTGGAACCTTTGCAAGAGACCATAGGAAGCTAGAGCAGGAAGTTGCCCTAGAAAGCACTGAATGAAATGGTCTTAGAAAATACTGAAATTATGGATGCAGAAATTTCGACTCAGAGAGGGATAGGCACTTGTCTAAGGCTGCACAGCAAGTAAACGAGAGAGGTGAGACTAGGATCATTTGTATTCTTAGCTAAAGTCCCAGAATGTGACCCAGGGCAAATTGCTGAATCTTTTGGAAGCTCAGAGTTCTCATGTGTAGAATGAAGATAGTAAGGCCAGCCTCATAGGGCAGTTGTGAGAATGAATGAGGTGAGGTGTTTGAAGTGCTTACAGAACACATGGTGAGTGGTCACCTACTGCTGCGATTTTCATTGTCTCACACTGAGGTTCCAGAGGGAGCCCGTGGATGTGGTTCTATTATCTGCCGCTCCAGAGCCGCTCTCTAGTTTCACAGTGAGTGCCGTGGGGTTGGATGTGTTCCCGGCCTCCTTGAGTTGGTGGAAGGCGGGAGGTTGGACAAAAATGGAAGCAGCGAAGCCAAGCAATATGACCTCACCTTGTGTCCCTGGGGGACAGTTTCCTGCTATTTTCATCCAGATTGGGCTTTTTGTTTGTGAACATGTGTTAGGGAGCGGAACTCCAACTGCACACGACTTCCTAGTGTGTTTATTTCCCAAAGCCTGCTCATTCATGGTGTGTGTGAGTCTGGATTCAAAACAGCTTTGGAGTGGGGGGATGATTTTCTGATTTTTCAAATCACTGTGTTAAAGTTTCTATAGTCTCATGATACCTGGGGGGAAACGAGGCCCTGTGCTATGTGATGTGTCAGGCTCCTCAGTCCATTCATTCATTCTTTGCATCTACTATGTAACATGCAGGCACCAGTGTAGGGAGGGCTTGGGAATGGCGCTGTGAACAAAAGACTTCTGCCTTTGTGGAGTTTATATTCCAGGGGAAGCAGTAAGCAAGCAAGTGAGTGTCTAGTATGTCGGATGACAAGAGCTATGCAGGAAACAAAGGAACTTAAGAGCTTGGGGAGAGCAGGGGGTGGGGAGGGAGTTGCTGTTTATGAATGGTGGGTGGGGAAGACCTTGCTGGTAAATTGATATTTGAGTCAAGACTTAAAAGAGGGGAGGGAGAGAGCCAGTGGAGAGCGGGCAGATGACAACTCCAAGGAGAGGGAATAGCCACATTCAAAGGCCCTAATAGATTATGAAGATTTCCACTCTCTGTACCCTGCCCCATACATTTCCCCATACGTTTGATTCTCAGGCCTCCCAGCAGAGGTGGGCAAGGGCTTCTGGGACTGTGCAGGGAGGGAGAGGACATTTTAAACTGCTTTTTCACCATCCTGAGGTGTCTGGCCTTCTCCCATCAAATCAAAGCCCACGTGCTGATGCATGGCCCAGAATAGCAGTGAGCAAGCCTTTAATGGAATTCACACATGGAGAGATCACCAAGAATGGTGAGGATGGAGGAGTGCGGGGGATGGGCCAGGAAAAGGGGAACAACGCAGCAAGCAGAGCCTCAGCTCAGGCCCCAGACACACCAAGGTGTCTAACAATAGCACGGTAGCAGGCAGCCTTTTTCTCTGCTTTCAAGCAACTCAGGATAAACAGATGACATCCCGTAAGAGTCACACACTCTTTTCTCTACTGAGTACAGCTGAAAAACAGTGACCTCTTAGGATTAGTGTGAGCGTGGCTTTC